ATAAAAAATATATATATATATTATATATAATAAATATAAAATAATTATATATAATAATAATTATAATAATATTCGATTAATGAAAAGGAAGAGGGGAAGAGAGAAGTGTTTCTATCTAACCTTTGCTCGTAGGCTGAAGATTCAACGCCGACATTCTCACCGCCTGTTTGTCGTGAGCCGAGAGATCGGCGATCTTCGATTTGGGGTTGCAAATCGCTTGATAACCGGCGAAGAATATCTGGATGTCGGGGTCGTCGGGGGTGGTGAAGTTGGAGTGCCAGATGCCCGTCACTTGCGCAAGGCCCGTGCTCGAGAGCGGGCCCGTTTGATTGTACAAGTATTGGTTAACGTTGGTCTGGTTGAAGGTCGGGTAAAATTGCTCGGCCAACGAGTAGTCGAGGCCGAACGATTGGTGATTGTGAAGATTCTCGCCGACCCCCGGCAAATCGACCACAACGGGGATCCCCATGGATCGAAGGTGCTCCCTGGGCCCTATGCCCGACAGCATTAGCAACTGGGGCGTGTTTATCGTGCCGGCGGACAACACCACCTCCCGTTTCGCGAATACGATCCTCTTCCTCCCGTTCTGAATAGGCAGATATAAACGGGGATGAACCGATTTCGAGCGGGTCTCTCGATCTCTCCAAACTTACCACCAACACGTCCACGCCTGTCGCCCTCTTGCTCAGCGTCCTCACCCTCGTCACGGTCGCGTTCACGATCACGTGAAGATTCTTACGGTCCTCGAACGGCGTGATGAACGCTCTGGCGCTGCTCACTCGTACGCCGTTCTTGCTTATGGTTTGGGCTATGGTGAAACCGTTGATCCTATCCCCGGACAAATCCTCGGAAATTCCGAAACCCGCCTCCTCGGCCGCCCTCAGGATTTCCCAGGCGAAAGGGGGCTGGTACGGGAATCTGTCGATATTATCATTATTTTCAAACTTGTCAGTTTTCGAGGTGGTTAGAATAGAATTTTTAATAGGACCTTTCCACGTTCATGACTCCTCCGTTTCGATGGTATTTCGTGCCAACTCTGTGCAGCTCGGTGTTGTTCTCGGATTTCAGGTAATACGGCATCACCTGGAAACAGGTGACGAGTGAGAAAGGTTGGATGGGGAAGAACGTATTTGGGGAGTCCGTACTTCGTCCCAGCTCCAGCCTAGGGCGCCCTGTTCGACCCATTTCTCGTAATCTTTGGGGTGGCCACGATGATACGCCATGCCGTGGTGAACAGTCGTCCCCCCGAGGTTCTTACCTCGAGGCCAGTAGCAACTGCCTCCATTACTCATGCAGGCATGCGACTCGTTCGACGTGCGATACTTCCAATCCAGATCACCGCCTGTTTTTGCAAACCAATTTTCTTCTCTCTTTCTTTTTTCTCCCGACTTAATGCATCCCCCCCCCTCCCCCGTAAAATTAATTACCGAGATAAAGCTGAAGATTGCTAGGTATCTCAGCCCCCGCCGGCTCATCCGGGCCTGCCTCCAGTAGGAGAACTTTCCAATTTGAAACTTCGCTCAGTCTTCCAGCCACCACCGCCCCCGCAGCCCCGCCTGTATTGAAACGCGATTGTTGACGTACATTTTAATACCCGTGGCAAACTCGTGCCAACTTTCTTGAAATTTCTGAAAGCGGCGCCGACCTCGAAATCCGCGAGGAGATCCGGAAAGGAAGATTGATCCGATTTTCCTCGATCCCTTTACCTTTAATTCGACAACTTACCACCGACCACGATGAAATCGTAGCTGAGATCGGGTATCCTCGAGGAGTGGACGCGGTGGCACGGCTCGCCGATCACAGGGCTCGTGGCGACGAAGAAATTGAGAAGGGCGAGGAACAGTTCCCCGTTGCTCGCCGAGCAAACGTCGGTGAGCTGGGGCCCGCCGAGGAAAGGCGTCGTGCAGGGCAGCGAGGACAAGGCGTCGCTGTACAACGAGTCTATAACGTTCGCCTGAAAGAAGAATTATTCCGCGTTGGGGAACAACGATCATCTCCGTTTCTTTCTCCCCTTCGACGTGGGTAAAGGATTGGATAAAAATGGAATCTAGAATCAGAATGGAAAATTGTTCAACGTACCATGTTGCGAAAAGAAGCGATTGCGCGCACACAGACGCAAAAACCATGCACGGCGGGCTTTGGTCTGCTCGACTGAGCCTCGTATCCCTCGAAATCCCCTTCTTATAGCCCCCTTTTTCTCCAACGATTGATGATGAGGCGGCCGCGATAAACACGATAAAAAAAAAAAAAAGTTTTGAAAACGGATCCGCGAAACAAATGAAGCGATCCATTTTAATAAATTATTACTCGCGGAAATTGCGGAAGGAAAAAGTTAAAAAATCATTGCGTCGACGTTTGCTATCTGACGTCCCGTCGTATTGATGGATTGCGTCGAAATTCGCCGGAAGGAAATGATCGATGATCGGTAAATCGCCGCCCGGTAAAATATTATTTCAACCGTGGTAATATTTCATTTCCATTTATACCTCAACTATCCCTCGATTGTTAAATATGCCATTAAAATGTCCCGTCTTATCGCGAGATAAGATAAGAAAAGTTTGAGAATCTCGCACGCGCGTTTTAAAATTTTTTAAATTTAATACACACGTATATATATATACATATATATGAAGATGCCTCGAGACGGTGTGTTATTCTTAATGTCCCAAATATACGCGTTAAGAGATTTGTAATCCTGATTGATGGCTCGTTATTCTACTATAATCACGGCGTATCCGTTTAAATCGTATCTCGAGGCTGTGCCAATTTCGGTTATATACTCCGGTTGCGTATTAAATTAAGGGAGCTAGGAAACCTGTCGCACGAAGAAGAATTCGTTATTCAGACATTAAGGAGTTAAATTACGTATCCTCTCCCTAATATTCCATTTTGCATCCTGAGCGGATGTATCCACGGATACCATCCCTACTTTTTGCAAATAAAATATATACTATGTTTTAATCCAATTTAAAATTTAAAGAAATTGGATATACAAACGATAAGAGGAGGGAACGCGAAATCGTGAGAATTCGCAACAAAAGAGAACACGTGGGAATAAGTTTCGCGCGTGCAACGTGTGGAGGGGGGTTTCTCACGTTTGTACGTTTTGCAAAAGTCGATTCTTTTCTCTTCCTTTTTTTTTTTTTTTTTCTAAATAAATATCGCTTTGAAAAATTACGCTTCGCCGTTTCTCTTCTCTAATTGTCGCAAAAACGTGAACGTCGTTGCACGCTCGAATATACGGATAGGATATAAATGAATAAATATAAACGTGTTGGGACAAGTTAGAGATATATATATATATATATAATTCAATTTATTGATCCGCATTTATATAGTGGCAATTTACATTTCTTTGGTTTCGACGTACACGACGACGTTTATCTAATAAAGAAGAAGATAATCAAATATACGAACGAGCCGAGCGCGATAAAAGTCATAACGGGTTTTCACGTGTATAATAATAATAATAATAACAATAATAATAATAATAATGATGATAATAATAATAATGATAATAATAATAATAATAATAATAATAATAATAAAAAGAAAGGAAAAGAATCTACGCGTTCTTGGCACGGATGGGAAAATATCGACAGAGGCTAAGAAATTCAAACGGATGGAGAAGCGTTCGTTTAGAAAAAATATTGGACATCAAATTTTCGACATACCACGTCGATCCGGCTAACGAAGAGAGCGTAAACGAAAGCTGCGATGCAAATATCCTGTGCGAACCGGAAGGTTAAAACCCGGTTCGGACTAGAGATCGAGTCAAGGGTCTTGGTCTACCAGTCACCCTGGTCCCAGTCGATGTATTTGATCCCCCAAAGCAATAGATCCAACGAGTTGTCGATCGTGGGATGGGAACTACTAGGAAATATGGCAAATATTTGACTATCTAAATTGACTATCGCCTCCCGACCGCCCTTTTTTTCAGTTTTTCCACGGATGGGAAGAAGCATGCCCGTACCATTTTGACGGCGCACCACCCCAATCGGACTTGACGAAAGCGGCTGCCCTCTCGCCGATCATGATCGCTGGAGCGGCCGTGTTCCCGGACGTCACCTTTCCAAAATCGAAAAAGAAAAAAATTTCTCTCCCCATTACAACGGACAACAATTCTTTTTGAAGAAAAATTTGAAGGAAAGATATATTTTATATACTCGAGGCATGATGGACGTGTCAGCTACGCGCAACCCTCTGATGCCGTGCACCCTCAGCTTCGGATCAACCACCGCCATTCGGTCGGTGGCAGGGCCCATTTTACACGATCCGGCCTGATGATTCTCCGGCCCCGTGTCCTGGCGCACGGCGCACCTCCAGTAATCGTTGCTTAGGTACGGGTGTCGGGAGCAGGCCTCGAGGGCGGGGTTGCCAAGCGTCATGTTGTACTTGGCCAACGCGCTAGTGTTGCTCAGCGACAAGGCTATCCGAATCCCGTGGAGGAGGACGGCCTCGTCCATCGGGTCGCTCAAGTAATTCCCGTGAATTATCGGTTTCGCGAAGGGATCGTTGCTGGCCAGTCGAAGAGTACCTGGAAGAATGGCGTCCCCCGAAAAACTCGATTATTATTATTATCATCATCATCATCATCATCATCATCATCATCGTCATCATCATCGTACCTCGGCTGCGGGGGTGAAGATTCGTGGGCGAGATGCTGATGTGACGGCCGCCGTTGTCCATCAAGGCTCCGACGAGGCCTGTCGTAGCGCAAGCCGCCTGATAACCGCCGAAGAAGATTTGAAGGTCGGGGTCGTCCTGGCTCGTGTATATCGAGGACACGATTCCCGTGAGTTGGGACAAACCGGTCGAGGCGATGGGTCCCCTCGTGAACGCGACGTATTCCAAGACCGAGGGCCAGTTCAGGTCGAACTCGTTAGGACGGTCTATGGTGAACGGCAACGTGAACGAGACGTGGTTGTGCAGATTCTCACCGACCCCTATATAAAAAAAATTATTATTAATTAGAAATGCGGATTATTAAGAGTACGTTTGTAAGGGCGAAACTGATCGCTGACCTGGAAGATCGTGGACCACGCTCACGTTCACGGCCGCCAAATGCTCCTTGGGCCCGATCCCGGAGAGAAGTAAGATCTGAGGGGAGTTGACGGCCCCGCCGGAAACGATTATTTCCCGCGAGGCGCGTGCGACGCGAAGTTCACCGTTCTGAGAATGCAAATTGCGGAAAATAGGAATAATTTGATAAATGAGAATAAAGGAAGAGGGAGAATCGGTCGTATTTGATTTTAACGGAAAAATTTCTTGTCAGTATCGTGTGTGTGTAATTATAGGTTGCAATTATAGGTCCCGTTGTCGATGGCTAATGACGAATGGATAGGCAGAATGATATTAGCGGTGGTGTTTGGCGCAATTTATCATTTACCTTGTAATATTGCACGCCAACCGCCTTCCTCTCCTTCAACAGGATCCTCGTCACGGTGGCGTTGGTAACGACTTGTAAATTCCTCCTGTTGCGGAACGGGCGGAGGAAAGCGGTGGCGGCGCTGCGCCGGACACCGTCTTTGCTCATCATTTGAGCGACCGTGAATCCGGTGAATTGATCGCCGTTCAACTCCTCGGGGATCGGGTATCCCAGCTCGGCCGCAGCGGCGAGTATATCGTTGGAAATGTCCGGCCTCCAAGAAAATCTCTCGACGTTGAGCAATCCCCCGGTCGAGTGATATTTCCGCCCGACACGATTGATCTCCGTGTTATTCTCCGAGCACATGAAATACGGCAGGACCTATTTTACAGGAGAGGGGAAAGGAAAAAAGAAAAAAACGGAAAGAAAAGTGTGTCGCGTTAAGTTGCCCCCTGTGGAATTATTATTAAGGTGAATCAGACTGACGGATTGGTAAATCGTTAGCTACACGCGATCCGCTTTGTCGCAACTCGTTCTTTTTTATAAATCCACAGCGTTCGTGTAAGAGAAAAAAAATTGTACACGAGAATATGCGTACGTTTCGAGAAATCTTTCGTAACTTTTAATTTCTATTTCTATTTCCCTCGTTTTAATTCCATTCAGTCTTGGAAATATTAACAATTTTGAGCTTACGTCCTGCCACGACCATCCATCATTGCCCATCGCCGCCCAGTTGTCGTAATCCTTGGGATGACCCCGCGTATACATCATGCCGTTGTGACTCGAGGTGCCTCCGAGGTTTTTACCACGTGGCCAGAAACACGAGCCGCCCGAGGACAGGCAGGCGTTCTTCTCGTTCGTCGTCCTATAACCCCAATCGATATCGCTTCCTGTTCCAAATCAACCATCTTCTTAATTTCTGTTCTGCCACTTTTACGGTCGAACGTACGTAGAGACATACGCTAGACGTACCTAGAAACATGGCCACCATGCTGGGAAGATCCGTACCAGGCGGCTCGTCCGGGCCAGCCTCGAGCAACAAAACTTTCCATTCCGGTTGCTCGCTCAATCTAGACGCCACCACGGAACCAGCTGTTCCTCCTAAAAAGGAGAAACGAGTGACCAAACGATTTATTACGAAATCGAAACAATAACAACAACAACAACGAGAACATACGATGAGAATGAAAAGTCTGAAACGAAGCGAATCAACGCGGCGGGCAAATCATCAACAGGCTAGAAAGTGGTTCGACGAGGCCTTGACCGTGGCAAACTGGCAACACCGACGAGGTAAAAGTAATTATACCGTGCGTGTAGTATGTTTATATATATATATATATATATATATCCGCGATGCTTTGGTACGCGGAACGTGTTTCGCCTTCGCTTACACGTGACACGTGTATCCGTGTATCCGTGCGTAATAAAGAGAGAAACCGAAAGAGCGAGAAAATACGAAAACATAGGTCCGTGTATAGTTTCTTCTTCGAAAATGGAATATTTCGTTTGTCGGACAAATCGAAAGAAGACGGGTAGAGTATTATTTTCTTTTTTTCGATATATATTGTCGAAATTGATTAGATATTTTTTTCACTTATCGACGAGTACGATGTTACTCGAGGAAATAAACGATATTCGATTATCAAAGTTGTGCGCGTCGATCGTTCCAGAAAGCGATAAAATTGGAGAAAAACGAGCAATTTGTATTGCACGGTTTATATTTCACGGAGAGTATCAACTCGGGCCTGAAATAAATAACGGGAAGAGACAAATAAATTGAGCTATTTGTACGCGTGCGCTCCGCTTTAAGGAGTACACCGGTGTTAATATTCCTATCCGAATGACATGCAAATGTTGCAACGTTATCTTTCAGTTTTATCGAAAGCGTGTAGCAACGCGACGGGTCTGTTTAGTCTCGCGTTGCGGGCGCGAGATATTTATGAGACGTAGCTAATTATGAGGCCACGCTTCGGAAGATTAATACGTGAAGCTTTGCTTGTTGCGGAATAATATCGGGCTCATCGTTGCTGTTCGAAGTAATTAACAACACGCTCGTGGCGTTTAATATTAATTAACCGTGGCGGTATTTCGTCCCGCAGCTTTTCCACCGGCTCGATCCTTCGCGACAGATTTACGCGATTTATCCGCAATTTCCAAATCCCAAATTCCTGGGAAAAATTCGAAAAAACTCTCGTTTTTATTCTCGATCCAACTCTCTCGATAAAACAGATATCGACTCGATCGATCGAAAACCTTGCCGTGAACATTCGAATCGCGGATCCAGGTTAACCAGGATAATTAGTTCCTCGTTTAATCGGATTGTCCATCGATGGAATCGAGAGAAGAGATAGCGGACACCGGTTATCGGGGGAACGAGGTTGTTCGGTCGTGCGCAATAGCGCAGAAAATAAGCCGTTTCGAATCGCCATCCGCTCGTTATTGCTCTTGCCCCACTTTCTTGCATTCTCGAGAAGAGGAAAAAGTAGCGGTCGCGACTGTACCGGCTGTGACATCGGTCTATCGCGCCTAGACTCCCCTCCCCTCCCAAGAAACGGCGAAAACGCGAAACGCGAAGGAACAGATGGGACAAAAGAAGAAGAAGAAGAAGAAGAAGAAGAAGAAGAAGGTATCGAATATCGATCCCTTCGAAAGAAGCAGATTCCGAGGCGAAGAGAGCCCCGTTCCCTTTACATACCGGAGAGATCCTGCTTTTGTTTTTCTCTGCGTTTCGCCGGTGGCGTTCCCCCCTCCCTTCCCTCTCCCGGCAATGCCATTTCCCGCAAAACCGGACCACCGGATTGCCGTCACAACGGAATCGGAGAGATCAACGGGTGAAAATCAGGTTCTTGCAAGAAACGTTCCATAACTCGGTTGCGTAACCATCGCCAACGATATCGATCCATCGGATGGAGGGGAGGGGGACTCGTCGATGAATCCCTCGATCTCCTTACGACTTCCACGCTCGGTCTTACGGCGGAGCGCTCGAATCCTTCGCTCGACTCGACTTTAGCCACGACTTTATTTACATTCCATCGCCGTTTCTACCTACCGCTCCGTTGTTTGTCTACCGCTCGCCTACCAATCTCCCCTCCTACGCCACCGTTCATTTTCTTTCCTTCTTTTTGATATATCTCTTAAGGATTCCCTATCACGAAGGGGACGAACGGAAGAGCGTGCGTGCGTGTGAGATAACGTTCGATCGGAATTTAGGATCCGCAGAGTGTGACTCGGAAATTTCACACCAATCTGCGCGTGGCCGTGCATCGATGCCCGGGGATGAGAAGGAAGGCGGGAAAAAAGAGAGAGGGAGAGAGAGAGAGAGAAAAGTGTCACCGGGAAAATAACATTTTCATCGCGCGATACGTTGAATATTCGGCGAGATTATGGAAATAACGGGGCCGGCCGGCTATTATAAAATATTTTCGCGGCATCCGGCATATTTTATCATAATTGCCGCGCGCGTTACGTGTTCGTGATCCTTTTTACCGATCCGGTAACCGGATAATATCTTCTTCCCCGCCTTTAATCACGCCCTGAAAGGGATCGCGATTTACGTAACGGAAGCAATAACGCGGTTTTCCGCATCACACCTCGTCGAGATCCCTCTGCCGTTTTTGGGAGGGATGGAAGATCGGCTCGTTGTCGTCGTCGAGCTACGCGATCGCGAACGTTGCCGATTCGAATATCCCTATATATATATATATATATATATATATATATAAATTTAACGATTTAATTCATTCGATAATATAGGTTGAAACAATTGCAAAGACAATGTTTTTCTTTTCCTCTTTTTACACGGAGCCAGGCTCTCGAACGACGGTTAAGTTTCCGCTACGAAATCGATTCTTTCCTCGATCCGCTCTCCTCGACTTTCTCGAGAATAATAAAACTTTCTCGAAATTTAATAATCTAATGTGACCGCAATGCAATACACCATGAATAGCAAGTGCGAGAAGGGTACTCGTATGATCGAGAGATGGATAGGGGATTACGAATCGAAAATGATATTAATAATAACGCGGTAATCGATGGGGCCGAGTGAACAACAGTTTAGTATTAATAATCCGTGTGAACGAACGCGATCTCTCGAATCGCTCCCGCGATAATCGGCGAATTACTATCACAGTCATCGCCGATGTCATTCTGCGTGGGATATAATTTTGTTCCGTGGGTGGATGAATAAATAAATAAATAAATAAATAAATAAATAAATAAATAAATAGGAGGAGGCGAGTGAAACGAGCGATTCGAAATTCGAGGCGACTCTTCCACCCGTTTAGAAACAAGAGGAGGAGGAGGAGGAGGAGGGGAGAAACGTTTAAACCGCGTCCGAGTCAAATATGATTATTTCGCTTTGCTCTCCCTCCCCTCTCCCTCCATCACCGTTTCTGGATGCGATTCGCCACGCTCGAACGAGTCCCTCGACTTTTCGTCACCCTCCCTCGACGCCATTGCGACACCTCCCCCCCTCCCCTTCGGCCACCAGTTTTTCCACCGGTTAGTCTTTGTTTCGCGTTTCTGCGTTTCCGGCCTTCGAACAATTCCCCCCTCCCCCCTTTTTTTCGTTCGAATCCCCGTGCGAACGAAATTGCGAAATTCGTTCGTTGCTCGTTGCTCGTCGGCTGGAACGAAACGCGATACGAAGCGCGGTTGTTTATCTTTCGGATAAACGGTATAACGATTTTTATAGAAAATAATATAATTATACGATTTCGCGCGTTTCTCCCGCGAATCTAGGGATTCGATCGTTTGATCGTTGTGAATATCGAATATTTTTCGTTGGAAAAATATAAAAGAAAAAACGGTATTTTCGATTTCGAAATTTTTTATCGGATGGAGAACGCGAAGGAAGAGGGACCGAATGAAAGAGGAGGATATTTCTCTCCCCCCCTCAGTTTCATCCTCTTTAAAGTTCGGGCGGAGTCACGTTCGAGTCGGTCACTTTGAAAATCGGCAAGAAACTATACAGTTCGCTATGCATACTTTTCCCCATTAATTCGATCACGTTGTTAAATACGAAACTTCTTACGTCATTTATAAACGCAACAATAACCTTTTGATAACCTGAGGATACGAATATAATAAGAAAGAAACCGTTTTTCGATCTCGAAACGATACGGATTGAAGAGCGTTTGCATTCGATGGAAATTCGAGGGAAAAAGTCCCGTCCGCTCTCTCTTTGCGAAACAACCGAGTAATAGCACAGAGCGATCGAAGCAAGCGCCGCCGATACTTGTTTCGATTTATGGTTTCATCCTGTCCTCGCGCATCGAAAGTTTCTCGAACCTTAATCGAGGCTCGATCAAGAGTGAACGTATTACGCGAACGAATCTTTCCTTCTTTCGAGGAGAATCGGATAACTTTCCAATTGTGAGCGATTAACGATCCAATTGATGAGCGTGCGAATAACGGAATAACGATCGGGAAAGGAAAAAGGCTCTTGGTCTCTTTCACCTATTTTCGAACCATCTCTCGATCGATTTCCAACGATTTCGCTCTCGATGCGCATCGCGAATATTACAAAACAAAAAAGTTCAATTAACGGGTGTTCAGATAATGAACGATCGTTACGCGAGCGTTACGCGATAATAACAAACGTTCCTTCGTTATAATTTGTTATTATAATATCGCGTTGCGTGCAAACGACGAGAAAGCGAGTATATCCTTAATAGACCCCGTTCAATGCACGTTTATATTATCGAGAGAGAGAGAGAGAGAGAGAGAGAGAGAGAGAGAGAGAGAACGGCGAAAGCTACTGATATCTCGATTAAAATGCACGATCGAAATCGAAATGATCGGTTTGTACTCACCGCCAACCACGATGAAATCGTAATAATATTCGGCAGGTTCCACGGGTTTGAATCGTTCGCACAGCAGCGAGATCTCCTCCTTGGCGAGTACGAACGTGTTCAACAGGCTCATGAACGTCAAAAATTGCGATCCCGGGCACACCTGCGCGAGGCTCGGCCCCAGATTCGGATCCGGGCAGCTCGGCGAGATTGACAGGTTGTACGACATTCTATGAAGCACGTACGGGAAAAAAAAAAAAAGAGAAAGAAAAAACGGGTTATTTCGAGGATCGATTCTCGAGAGAGAAGTGTAATCGAGAGAATTGGGGAGGGAAACGTTCCGATTTGATCGGAAGGCAGGCGTCTCGTTCGACTTTTCGCCGATAATTGTCGCAAAAATTGTCGCGGTATGTTAATTAATAGACGCGCCGAAATCACCTTGAAGTCACGTGTTTCAAATTGACGTAGAAAAAATACGCGTATGCGTATGCCAAAAGATTAGATCTTCGTTCGTTTCGACACGCGAGTTGTACGTTATTTAAAGAATTCGACGAAAACGTTTTTTCGATATCGATCGTCGTTATGGTAATTGCAATGTACAAGTTACGTAATTATTCGACATAACAAAATAATCATATAAATATAAATTGCTGAAAAAATTACGCAGTTATGCGGGAAACGATAATTTATTATCGTTGAGGAATTTTATTATTTTTCGTAACATGAAACTTTTGTAGGGAATTTATATTTCGATTTATTTATTTTTCTTCTTTTTTTGCCGAAGGTCACGCTCAACGCGTCACACGACCTCGAACGTCGCGGATCAATCCGAACCTTTAACCGTCTGCCTTGTTTTTCCCTTGTTTTATTATATTATATCGTTTGTCATCCGCGGCGAGAGAGATCTATGGCATCGCGTTGAAATCGGATCGGCATTAATTAACGGGGCGAGGGGAATTAATGCGGATCTAACTAACCGGGCCGCGTTAATTAATTTTAGTTCTAATTAGCGCGGTTGAATTTTTCGCGTGTTTAACATCGCGCGAATTAACGCGGGGAAGAGACAAAAAAATATCGCGATTAAAGTACATTTTCATAACGCAAAAAAAAAACGATTATTTTTATCGTTCCTCCTTTAGCTCGAATCTAATAGCTCAATTATATTTAATATCCTATTGTTTCCGTCACGACGAATCGTATACACGACTTTTTTTCCCCCCCTTTCTTCCCATTACACTTTTTTTCCGAACGAACGAACGAACGAACGAAGGAACGATTGAACGACGCTCCATAGATAAGCATTATGCCAATTATCCACCGACCGTTGGAATCGTTTCGAATTTCACTTCCCTCGAGCTCCACTATTACGTTGTACCTTAAATCCCGTTGACAATTATTAGTTGAGGCAACGACGACTCGTGTCGGGATCGGGACGGGATGAGAAAACGAACGCGGCACGACGAGATACGCGTGACACGATGAAAGCTCGCACGTGCCACTCGGCCTCGTATCTTTATACGAGGTATAGGTGTAACTGTAATACCTCTCACCGTACAACCTCTCTTTATAATTCGTCTCCCACCTCGTCCTTTCGTCTTTTCCCCGTCCGAGGCAAGCGAATCGCCTCCTCCGGAAAAATCTACGCGTTCATTTTTCGACGACTCTTCTCTGATTCAATCGCGTAATTTCCGACCAACTTTGAGTTACGGAGTTGCGATCGTTATCGCGCGTGTTAATCTTTTCTCCTCCTCCTCCTTCTCCTCTTCCTCCTCCTTTGTTTCGTTTGTCCCGTAACCGCAATCGTTTATCTTCAACCGTTCTTTTTCTCTTTTCTTTCTTTCTTTCTTTCTTTCTTTCTTTCTTTCTTTCTTTCTTTCTTTCTTTCTTTTTTTAAATACCATTTCGCTAATTGTCCCACCTTTGATCTTTCAAACCGGAGGAGAATCGTTAAAACCGGTGCTCGACGCCGTTTTTTCTTTTTTTTCTTTTNTTTTTTTTTTTTTTTTTTTTTTTTTTTTTTGCAGAGCGGGTGGCCTCCGCCCTTTGTAGCGCTCCAGTTTTTTAGAATTAACCGCATGTCGGATACCTGTTTAATTGCTCGAGGTTATTCTAAAGATTAGTTGACAGTTTGTTTCTGCTAAACAAACTCGTCGCGCGGCCTGGGTCACCAGGCCGACTTGCCCGGTGGAAACTCGATTTTAAAACAACCGTTTGTTCGTGTTGTTTCAACCACGGTATACACATATTTTTTATTTTTTTTTTTATTTTTCATTTTTTCTTTTTCCCTTTTTTTCTCCCTCCCTCCCTCGTTTCGTTTTCGAGTTGACGGAGACGCGCCACGCGCTCACAAAGCGAGATATTTCTCGACGTTTTCGTATAGAGGCGGTCGGTTAACCCGGTGAAACGATTCGGTGCCCGCAATGAAATTATTAACGGGGGCGAACATTGTCCACGTAAACGGCAACCTGTGCGCGTCCAGCATGTTAATAAACCGTGAATCTCTGGGTATTATTTCGTAGCAGTCGCGGCTAGAATATAATAACGCGCGGCGAACGAGTACACACGGACCGATAATAGCGTCCCACTTAGCCGCCGCCGGATCCGAATTCACCGGCCGCGGATCGACGCGACACCGGATACGCATTTTCGTGTGCGCGTACGTACTCCCCTCGCTGACTCTTCTCTCCCGCTTCTGTGAACCCTACCGACCCACACCGCCGCGTTGTAACACGATGAAAACGGCCATTATCGAATTTACACAGAGCCGATTTCGCCGCGAATATGTATCGGTTCGCCTTGTTCAAACGATTCGTACATCTCGATTCGTATATACGACGGGCGCGCTATACACGTTTCTCTGTCTCTCTTTTTATTCGATGTACAAGAGATTCCTATAACTTTTATTATGGATGAAAGTCGACGATAAGTCGGTCGAGAAAGATTAATTTACATCGGCATTCGACAGTCCATATATTTCACGCTTTCTTATTTATCGTATCAAAATCCATTTCCGAAAATATGAAAATATGTATATATATATATATATTTATTCGATTCGATTCGATCCTTCAATTGAATGAGATGGGTTAGATATCTAATACAAGGATTTTGTTTTAAAACTGGCAATCGGTTTTAGAGATTTTCTCTCGTTCTCGGATCAGCGACCGCTAATTTTAGCGGTTAACAACCGAGTCCGTGAAACTTTGCGCATAATCTTGCGTTGACGAAGCGACCTCCGAGAGCGAATCCTCGTCGTGGATCCGTGAATTCGTGCATTGTTCGGATGCACGTTGCGCACAGTTGGTCGAGCAAAAATCATATTTTCGCGGCGCAAACTCGGCGCACAATGGGACTTCCGGCCTTTTTTCCCCCTCCCCCTCCACGGACGCAGCGCGGCCAACGTCTCCAATAAATTTTATCTTACGCGTTTTTTGGTCGCCGAAAAACGAGATACGGCGGGTGGGGAGGGGGGGGGCGGAGAGGGGAGGGAAGCTGAACTCTGCTCGACCACTCTCGAAACTGCTCGTCACCGTAATTTATTATTAGAAAGTTTCGTTTTTGCGTTCTCTGGCGTTGCCAATGACACACTACGTCCCCGCCTCCTAGTTATAATTCCCGTAATAACATCGTAGTATTTTTACTCGACCGAGTAAAAGGATATAATAGAATCGAAATTTCTTCGATGCAACCGGATGTTATTCGTTATTCGAGACAAAGTCGAGGAATCGACCAATCGTTGCGTAATATCGTTCGTTGATCTTTGGACAACGATGATTCTCTCTCTCTCTCTCTCTCTTTCATTTTTGCAGAATCCTCGCGTATTCCACTCGATGACGATTCCGTTCGATGACCGTTCCCTCCCTTCCGGCTCGATGACGAACCGTATTTACGCAAGGTATTTCCGTCTTGTCAAACAGAAATGCGCTCCCCCATTGTGTTCTTTCCCCGGATTGCTTGTTCGGCAAACAGCGGGAATCCGTTGACGGGAATCGATACCGTATGGTTTTGCGTTTCCATTCGAACAATAATCATCTCGTCTCTCCCTCCCTCCCCCTCTTTCGAGCATCCGCGAATGACGCACGGATGCGTCGCCTTCCTTCGATCAAGATCCGCCGGGTAAATATAATTAATCGCGACGATCCCAAAGCTTTGCGGATTTTACCAGAAACTGGTTACATTCTGAATACATCCCGCTTTTAACGCAGATTCAACCGATAACGTTTATCGATCTCGCGATTATACCTCTCGCATTGACCTGAAAATTACCATGTTCGACGATGGCGCGTTATTATTAATCTCGATGATATTTCGAAGTGAGTTATAAAAATACTTTTCGTACGAAAGAAATAATATTTCGTCTCTCGATTCGACGAGAAGAAGAATTCGTAACGTATTTGAAGATTAGAATCTTCGATCACGTAATCGCGGTGCAAGTAAATATTCTTCGCACGAAACAAATGGTATTTCGAATCCACGTTTCGCTCTCGACCACGCACGTGAGGATTCGTAATCGTACGTATTTGAAAATTAGAATCCGGCTTCGATCTTCGACGACGTAATTACGCGTTAGTCTTGAATAATATTTCCAATTTCGAAGATCGAACTCGTCGTGTTATTATTAAACGCGATGTATGTTTTTCGTACGATCGAAACTAATGGTACTTTGAATCCTCGATTCGACCACGCACGCGAGAAGGTGGAATTCTTAATCGTACGTATTATGAAAATTAAAATCTGGTTCCGATCTTCGGCGGCGCAATTACGCGTTGGTCTCCAATAATATTTCGAATTTCGAAAATCAAACGCGACTCGCCGTGTTATTATTAAGCGCGACGTACGTAAATATTTTTCGTACGATTCGAAAGTCGTATTTCGTCTCATTCTCGATCCGACCACGCACGCGAGAAGGTACAATTCTGTTCTTCCGATTTTCGACGACGTAATCTCGAATTTTAAAGATCGAACATGCGCAATTATTTTTCGTACGAAGCAAATGGTACTTTCTCGTTTCAATCACGCGCGCGTAAAATTCTATTTTTCGACGACGTAATTTCGAATTTCGAATTTCGAAGATCGAATGCGGCGTACGTAATTATTTTTCGTACGAAACAAATGGTACCTCGAATTCTTGTTTCACTTTCGATTCGACTGCAAGATGGTAAAATTCTTAATCGTACGTATTTGAAAATTAAAATTCTTTCTTCGATGTAATCTCGAATTTCGAAGACCGAACGCGACATAAGTAACGTAAGTAATTATTTTTCGTACGAAACAAATGGTACTTTGAATTCTCGTTTCACTTTCGATTTGACTATGAACGCAAGAAGATAGAATTTTTAATCGTACATATCGAGTATCTGAAAATTAATATTCTTCGACGTAATTTCGAATTTCGAAGATCGAACGCGACATATATAATTATTTTTCGTACGAAACAAATGGTACTTCGAATCCTCGTTTCACTCTCCATTCGACCACGCACGCGAGAAGATAAAATTCTTCCGATTTTCAACGACGTAATTTCGAATTTCGAAGATCGAACGCGACATATACAATTATTTTTTATACGAAACAAATGGTACTTCGAATCGTTCCATTCTCGATCCACGCACGCGAAAAGGTAAAATTGTTAATCGGACATATTTGAAAATTAAAATCTGATCTTAGACGATATAATTTTGAATTTTGAAAATCGAATGCGGCGTACATAATTATTTTTCGTACGAAACAAATGGTACTTGGAATCCTCGTTTCACTCTCCATTCGACTACGCACGCGAGAAGGTAAAATTTTTAATCGTACGTATTTAAAAATTAGAATTCGATCTTCGACGACGTAATTACGCGTTATAATAATATTAATAATATTTCGAATTTCGAAAATCAAACGCGACGTAAATATTTTTCGTACGATTCGAAAGTCGTATTTCGTCTCATTCTCGATTCGACCACGCACGCGAGAAGGTACAATTCTATTCTTCCGATTTTCGACGACGTAATCTCGAATTTTAAAGATCGAACGCGACATATATAATTATTTTACGAAACTAATGCTGCTTCGAATCCTCGTTTCACTTTCGATCCGACTGCAAGATGGTAAAATTCTTAATCGTACGTATCGAGTATTTAAAAATTAAAATTCCTTCTTCGATGTAATCTCGAATTTCGAAGATCGAACGAGATCGTACGTAATTATTTTTCGTATAAAAAAAAAGGTTTTTCGAATCCTCGTTTCTCCATTCGACCACGCACGCGAGAAGATAAAATTCTTAATCGTATTTAAAAATTAGAATTCGATCTTCGACGACGCAATTACGCGTTAGCCTTCAATAATATTTCGAAAATCAAACGCGACTCGTCGTGTTATTATTAAACGCGACTCATTCTGTTATTATTAAACGCGACGTAAATATTTTTCGTACGATCGAAACTAGTCGTATTTCGAATCCTCGTTCCATTCTCGATTCGACCACGCACGCGAGAAGGTAAAATTCTTAATCGTATAT